TCTTTATTTTAGGTTAAGTGTTGACATCGTGCGAAATTTTGTGCAAATTCTTCCGTGTTTTTTGGAAAAATAATTAAAAGATAAGGTAATTTTTATCTGATAGGGATGGCAAATAACTTTTTAGTAACCTAAACAATCACCACAAACAATTTGTTAGTGTTTTTTTTAAACAGTTGCTTTTTGCATGGATTTTTAGGGTTATTTGGACGATGCCTTATGTAAAATAAGTTTTGTTCTGTGACGATGCCTTAAAAGCATAAACATGTTCCTGGAACAGTGTATCAAAGAAATTATCACCCAGAAAATATTGAATTGGCCGTGGCAGAGGTGATAAACAATCGTCTATCCTTTGGGTAGATTGCAAGTGTAATGATTACATCTGCCACAGATGATCTGCGGATAATGGATAATCTTTTGCAAGACAAGATACAAAAGAGTGCAGTCATATCTAAACCACAAAGCAGTGATAATTAGTTGTTTTAAAGAAAACCTTCCTGGCAATGACTGGCTAAATTCTTTCCGGAGGCAAAAATTGTGATTACTCAAAGGAATGCTAAAAATCTAAAAAGATCCAGATCAGAAGTTTATGATGATGTGATAAACCAATATTTTTTCAGAAGTAAAGGAAATAAGGGATGCTTTGCCAGCACCTGGTTACCCAGGGAAACAACAAAATGTTGTGAAAAAAGGAAACTCAGAATATTAAACTATTTTTCAACTTTTCTAATGTTTGCTGACACTGGAGGAGATCATTTACCATTGTGTGTTGGTTACCAGCCAAATCTATTAGATTTTTTTTAACAATCAAAGGTTCTTAATAATTTTTATATTAATAAATTATATCCATATGTAAATCAATTTTAGGTCACAATCTTTTGCATTTAATAAATAAATTTGTATACTATACAAAATCAATTTTAAATCTTTCAAGTGTATAAAAAAATATAGGCAAAAATACTATTTTTGCTTGTATTTTTTCCTTTTAATGCTTGTGCTCTAAATTTTTATTCAAAAGCAAAAATCCTCACATTTTTTCTTATATATTCGTAATTGCTAAAATTTATTTTGCCAAGCATCAAAACCCTTAATGAAAATTAAAAATTTGTGACTTTAAACTCACCTTCATTGTTAATTGTTTTATTTAGACTTATATTTTAACTAGGTAACTACTTAAATTTCTTTGACTTTTTATTTTTGTTGCTAATTTATAATTTGTTTAATCCTTTATTTAGAAAATTTGTAATAATTGTTAATAGGCAATATTTCTTCTCTTTAAAATACCAGCATTGTTATTTTTTTTAAGCCATGTTTTAAGTTATGTTACTTATATTTGAATTTTTCTAGTTAATATTTAAATAGGATTTTTTAGATTTTTATTAATATTGATTTAAAAGTTGTAGTATCTTGTATCTAGAAAATTGTTAATACCTATATGAATATAGGCAATAGTTTTTCTTTTCAAAATACCATTGAAAATTTTTTGTCTAAACTATTTTGTTATATTTTTATTTGTTTACTTTAAGTATATAATATTATATTAATAATATTTTTTAGATTTTGTTAATTGGGTATTTTTAATTAATTTTAATATTGATTTAAAAGTTGTAGTATCTTGTATAGAAAATTGTTATATATATAGGCAATATTTTTTCTTTTTAAAATACCATTGTAAATTTTTTGTTAAAGCTATTTTGTTATAATTTAATTTGTTTACTTTAAGTATAATATTATTAGATAATATTTTTTAGATTTTGTTAATTGGGAATTTTTTTTCCAAAGTATTTTTTTTGTACAATAAATTTTTGTTGTTTTTAAATATATATTAAATTTTCCAATAATAAAGAAAAATCCTACCCAAATTTATAAAAAAATCCAACGTTTTATGATACAATAATCCCACGTATTTCCAACGTTTTATAATACACAAAACCCACATATTTCCCACGTTGTATAATACACAAATCCCACGTATTTGCAACGTTTTATAATACATAAAAGCAACGTTGTATAATACACAAAACCCACGTATTTGCAACGTTTCATAATACGTAAATCCCACGTTTTTTATAACATTAAAAACTAACGTTGTCAGATAACGTTATAAACCGGGACATTTCAACATAAAATTATACATAAAAGTTAGGTTTTGCCAACGTGGGAAAAACGTTGTTTCTACGTAAAATTTCTACTAGGGTACGGGGTTTTCAAAATTTAAGCATTAAGGTGTAAAACTTAGTCCGCCCCTGGTAAACAAAAAAAGTAAAACAGGTTTCAAGAACACTACTTTAAGAGGTCCCTACCAGGGTCCATCATATTAAATTTTTATTAAATTATATTCAATACTTTAAAAGTTATTCATGGAAAACCAATTTGCAGGGGCGTCCTTTCGGGGCCCATGTCTCCGTAAGAAGGGCCAGTAGGAAATTTTTTTATAGGAATGTGTCATCTTATTTTTTCATATTCTATCTGAATCCGAGATATTTCCCACATTTTTCCGGACACCCTGTATAGGTAGTGTTAACCTAGCGAACCGAAACTATAAACGTAAACGAAACCCTAGACCAAACCAGAAACAATAGAGTAATTGCATCAAAAATGAAAATCCCTAAAAACCTTTTTAATGTAATCTAGAGGTAAAAACACATTGCAAAAATATTTTTTTATATTCCAAAAGTTCAACCCGGCCCCAAAATATCAAATTAAAAAAAAGGTACTTTTCAAACGTTCCGAACTCCCGTGTTTATTATTTGTTGACATCTTGATTTCTGACAGTTGGAGCTTATGACGTCATGCAATTTGGCGGGAGTTCGGAACGTTTGAAAAGTACCTTTTTTTTAATTTGATATTTTGGACCCGGGTTGAACTTTTGGAATATAAAAAAATATTTTCGCAATGTGTTTTTACCTCTAGATTACAATAAAAAGGTTTTTAGGGATTTTCATTTTTGATGCAATTACTCTATTCAGCGGGAACTTTAAATGTAAACTGCGAAGTTTTCGAATGTTTCACTTGGTTTACTGTGGTTTCGATATTTATAAAACTGTGAATATTTATATTTAAAAAAAAATATTTTTTAATAGTTGATTTTAACAGAAAATATAGACTTTATAGACTTTAGGTAAAAAAATAGACTTTTATAGACTTAAGACAAAAATATAGACAAGTCTTTAAAAAAACTACCTGCTGGGAGCCCTGACCCCGCCCCATTGGGCCCCCCGCCCCATTGAGCGACCATTTAATATTATACAATTGACAAATATGCTAAATAAGGATTTTTTTCCACCCGGTGTACTTTTAATAGCGGTACTCCCGGTGTACTTCTAGTCACTTTGTTTAATAAATGTAAGAAAACAAGAAAATGATTCAAGAGTAGTAGGTACCCTAAACCAAAGGAGTAGTACCTTTATTTATTATTTTATAGAAAATTGCATGTATAAATTTTACATTAATTTTATTTTCCTACTCCTATTGCATATTATTGACAGTATTTGGGTGTTTTTCGTTTTCAATATTCAGTGAATATTATTCACTATTATTTAAGGTAGTGTCTCCCCGACCGTGTGTGCTCGACCGTCGGACGGACGTAGAAATGTGTGTGCGCAACCGTCGCATATTTTAACCCACAGACCTACAGTGGTCTGTGTTTTAACCTTATTTTCAACTAGAGGCTAAATGTAGCAAAGTATTCCTCAAGGTTATGACGAATAGCTGTCATTTTGGTTATGCAGGTACACTGCATTGTGCCATACCAAACTAACCCAAACTTAACAACCCAACCCAACCGAATCCGCACCATTGGGCCCCTCCCGCCCCATTGTCACAATCCAGCCTGCCCTTAGATATATTATACCTCTATTGCTCAATGGGGCGGGAGGGGCCCAATGGGGCGGGGTCGGTTGGGTTGGGTTGTTAAGTTTGGGTTGGTTTGGTATGGCACAATGCAGTGTATCTGCATAACCAAGATGACAGCTATTCGTCATAACCTTGAGGAATATTTTACTACATTTAAGTCGTTTTTTCGCGTAAATACTATGTAATACTACGGTTAAATAAGTCATGACGTCACAGTTAATTCATATAACCATGGTTAGGTTTCTAACATTTGACATTTGTTTACTTGTTCATAACCTATAATTTTTGAAATGTGTTTTTACCTATTTATATTTAATTTCTATGCTTTTACCGGTGTAAATAAATTTCTTTGCCTCTTCTTATACCTAGTATATTCTTTTTCTATAGGTACTAGTTTTTTCAATACACGTTATCTAATTCTCCTACATGTTTAATACAAAATAAGGAAGAATATAAAACAAACCTGAATATAATTCCTCCACTTGTGGAGATTCCACAATATGGAGCACCCTATCATTTATTTTTACTGACAACACCCCATTTACCATTTTAATACAAAGTTTACATTCGGTTTAAGAGCAATTGTACCTACTTAAAATATTTTAAATTTCAAATGTAAACAACTTTTTGACAGATCGAAACAGATATATATATATTAAAAAGAGAAAGACTATTAACCACGTTGAATAACTAGCTCAGCGATATAGTTTTATGGTCTGGTATTTGTGACGTCATAGTTAGGATTTTTGAACGCACTCTAAACGCAAAAATGCCTTAACTATTAACCAAGGTTAAGTTTAATAACCATAGTATTTCATGGTATTTACGCGAAAAAACGACTTTAGCCTCTAGTCATTTTCACACGTTTGTACGTCCGTCCGACGGTCGAGCACACACATTTCTACGTCCGTCCGACGGTCGAGCACACACTTTTCTACGTCCGTCCGACGGTCGGGGAGACACTACCATTATTTAAACCAAACGGTTTATAAATTCGGAATAAGTAAGGTTAACAGATGTCAGATTTGTTTATTGGCAAATAACCAAGTCCAGTGCCAAGTCCTTCACCTATGCATATAATAAATATATTGATTATTGGTGTTCTTTAAGTAATTGTTTGTTTGTAAAGTATTAATATTATATATATAATGTCGGATAAACAAAAAATATTAATATGTGGAGATGTTGAAGGACAATTTGATTTATTATTCAAAAGGATTGAAAACATTCATAAAAAGTCAGGACCCTTTGACTTACTTCTTTGCGTAGGAAATTTTTTTGGAATAAATAATAAAGAATTTACACCTTACAAGTTAGGAAGCAAAATAGTGCCAATTCCCACATATATATTAGGACCAAATAAAGAAGAACATATTCCTTTATATCCAAAGGACGATTCTGAAATAGAAATATGCAATAATTTATATTATCTAGGAAAACGGGGCATTTATACTGATGCCAAAGGTGTTAAAATAGCCTATATAAGTGGTTTGTCAGGCGAAATATCTAATAATATTACATACACTGCTAAAGATGCCTCTGATTTACATGATATTTGTATAAAGGGCAATTCAACATTTCGAGGAGTAGACATTCTTGTATGCTCCCAATGGCCTAGTGGAATTGTTGAGGAGAATCAGAAATTACCCCCATTACATTTTGGAAGCGATTTACCCAGCTATTTGTGTACAAAACTAAAACCGAGATATATTGCAAGCGGTTTAGAAGGCATATATTATGAAAGATCCCCGTTTAGATGTCCAATAATAGGTGATCATGATACAACTATTGAAAGTGTAACAAGATTTATAGGTATGGGTCGAGTAGGGAATCCCAACAAAGAAAAATGGATATATGCCTTAAGTTTAACACCAATGGACAAAATGAAAATATCCGAGTTACTACAAAAAACTACTAACGAGACCCCATGTCCTTTTAATTATTATGAACTTAATAATAAAATTTTTAAAAATAAAAGAAAAATGAGTAACCAGCAGCAATATTTTTATGACGTTACTTCGGCAGAAGAAAATCCGACTAAACAAAATAGCAAAAAACATAAAATTCAATTTGACCAAAGTAAATGCTGGTTTTGCCTAGCCAGCCCTTCACTGGAAAAACATTTAATTATTAACGTTGGAAATTTGTCTTATTTAGCAGCAGCCAAAGGTGGAATAGTCGATGAACATTTTCTTATTTGCCCAATTGAACATTATCAGTCAAGTCTAGGTCAACCCGATGATGTAGTTCAGGAAATAAACCAGTATAAAATAGCGTTAAAAAAGTTTTACTCAAGAAAAAATACAGTACCAATATTTTTTGAACGGAATTATAAAACTTCTCATATGCAACTTCAAGCTGTGCCCATTCCAAGCGAAGCATTAAAAGAATTAAAGGAAATATTTATTGAAGAATCAGCAGCCCAGGGATTTAAACTTGAAGAATTGGATTCGTATAATCGTTTAGACCAAGTCATTCCACCAAAAACGACATACTTTAGCGTTGAATTTCCCGATGGCAGCATACTATATACAAAACTTCAAGGTTTATCAGGTTTTCCCCTTAACTTTGCAAGGGAGGTATTAGCATCTAGTCCTATATTAAACCTTCCAAATAGAGTAGAATGGAAGGATTGTATTTTAAATAAGGATCAAGATGTTGAATTAGTAAAAAGGATAAGAATGGATTTTGAACCATTTAATTTCACAATTTAAAAATACTAATATTACATTTATTGTAAATTATGCAACAATATGTGACGTGAAATAAGAAAATCGCTCTAATGACTAAAAAATATAATTTCGAGTTTTTATCCGTTTTTTATTCCTTTGCTTTGTCTGATTTTTCTAGATAATGTTTTAGTTCGTTAAAGCAATTTTCTCATCCCACACTTACTTTATATATACGAGGGGCGACTATAATGATCTTTAAAATCGGGAAAAAGTGAGGTTATCAATAAAAATTACTTAAGTAATTTTTCTACTCAAATTAATTAATTAATTTGAGTAGAAAAAGCATAGTATTACACTCGAAATAATGCGCATAATAATAATTATTTGAAGTTTGCGTCTCGAGCCATCAGGCGGGAGACGTAAATCATCCTAGTAATTACTACTTAAATAATATTAATATTATTTACTAGGATGATTTACGTCTCTCGCCTGATGGTTTGAGACGCAAACTTCAAACCTTGTGAATAATAGCCTGCATTATCTCTCGTATAATAATATACCTACTATTATTGAAATGTAAAAATTATTTTTTTTAGTTTGTATTTTCAGGTTTTTTATCAGTAACTCTTTTATTAAACAAGTAGATTTTATGAAAAATTATTAAACAAAGCACAAAAAGATACTTCTCAGCCAATTTGCATGCAATGTTCTATCCTCAGGCCATAATTTTATTTGTTAAACAATACATAAAACATACAATTATAATAATAATATTATTATTACTCGATTTGTTTTATTGGTCCAAACCTTCAAAGGTCCAAACGGGTTTTTGACAGACTAGGATGTAAAAAACAAATGTTACCTGATTGGTCTAAATTATTTGACATACCTAATAGGCGATCAATCACTTTTGTGGTCTTCACAATAAGAAAGTTTAAATTATAGAACTTTTGAAGATAAAAAAGTTTTCTATTGGGAATCCGATTTGGGGACACACTGTAGATCAATTTTGACGTAATTTTTGTAATTTCGCAGAAAATCGCGATTTTATACCAAAATTGTAATTTTTTTTACAAAATATATTTTAAAATTAAAAGTAGAATCTCTACTATATACTACTATCTATAGAGTAGGTAGGTATCTCTAAAAAAGGAATTAGTGAAAAATTACTAATTATTAGTCATTTTTGAATTATTGTCTTGGCGAAAAATTTTGCTTAAGCATCACTTAAAATTAGTCAAATTCTACTGAATGCATTTCATGAAATAGTCAAATCAGTGGATTTAAATTTAAAAAAAATTGTTACGGTGCTAGGGTTTGAACTTTTAAAAGGTAAATTTACTACCTGACAAATATATTAAAAAAAATATTTTTTCTAATTAATAAAATAAGTAAATTTTGTCTACAGTTTTAAGGTGTCGAAAAAATATCGGAAAAATTGTTTCCCAGGCCTTGGAAAAATTTTCTTTTTTTGTGGAAAATTGAATTTTTTTGGGAAATTATACACGTTTGAAAAAACTTAACATTATTTTAATAGTGCACTTTATTGAGGAGAAACTGAGCAGCTCACAAAGGCTAAAGACCTATGTTATAGGTGACTTTAATATGGACATTCTAGGAGATGCCAGCTTAGAATACAAACAGCTATGTATAAGTAATGGATTTGAGTTTGTAAATAAACTACTGCCCACAAGAATAACTAAAGACAGCTCCACACTTATAGACCACATTCTCACCAACTCCAATTTACAAACTTGCAAAGCATCGGTGATAGGAAGCTCAATAAGTGATCACGAACTTCAGATAGTAACAATTAATACAAGAATTAAGGGTAACACAATACGCAGTTTTACAAAAAAAATAACAGACTTAAAAAAAATTAAGGCTGATCTAACAAACTTAAATCACCATTATACTGAGGACAATAGTGTGGATGACAACTATGAAAAACTCATATTGTGTTTTACAAAAAACACAACTAGTGTTACCTTAAAAAATAAGTTTAAGGGAGACAGCAAGCCATGGTTTAATAACACAATATTTAAATTAATAAAGAGCAGAGATTACTATTTTCATAAAATAAAAAATGACCCTGGAAATGAATTTATAAAAACTAAATATGCTGAAATAAATAAAACCACCAAAAAAGAAATTCGACAAGCGAAGTTTAGATTTTATAAAAATAAATTCGCAAATATAGGAGGCAACCAAAAAAAATGCTGGAAGGTTATAAATTCGTTAATCAACAACAAACAAAAAAACAATACAGATATATATTCAATAAAGGATGGTAACAACATTGTTAATGATGAGAGAAGTGTCTGTGACACAATGAACAATCATTTCACTAGCATTGCTAGAAAACTAGCAGACAAAATTCCAGATATGCCCTTGGACATGGAAATAGAAACCGGATGTGATGAGCTGTTCAGTTTTGTACCAGTAACTGAGGAAGAAGTCTTGAAATTGGTTGAGGGACTAGACTCGGCGAAATCTCCAGGATACGATAATATAGACGTAAATTCGATTAAACAGTGCAAAAACGAGATCTTACCAGTGTTAACTAGAATTATAAACCAGTCATTAAAAAGTGGATCTGTGCCAAGTGCTATGAAAATTGCTAAGGTGATACCAGTTTATAAAAGTGGTGAGAAATCAAATGTGAACAATTATAGACCAATATCTGTTTTGCCTCTATTCTCCAAAATCATAGAAAGTATAGTAAACAGACAACTTATAAGCTATTTAAACTCCATAAACTTCCTTTCAAAGCTTCAATATGGTTTTCGAAGATGCAGCGATACCAGCTCTGCTGCAGTGGACTTAGTAACAGATATTCAAATGAACATAGACAAATCATATAAATGCGCACTGGTGTCGCTGGATCTTTGTAAAGCCTTTGATACAGTGAGTCATTCTATACTCTTAAAAAAATTAAAACTGTTAGGTATAAGAGTGAAATGGTTTGAGGAATATTTAAGGAATAGAACTCAGGCAGTTGTAATAAACAAAATAAGCAGTGACAAAATTGAAATAAAATTTGGAGTACCGCAAGGGTCTATATTAGGACCCACACTTTTTATAGTATTTATAAATTCAATAACAAATTTAAAGCTTAAGGGAAACATTAGATTATATGCCGACGACACAATGGTTAACCTTAGTATACTTCTCAGACACTTATGACTCAATTAGGAGAAATATTGTTTGTGACTTGAAGATGATTTTGAGTTGGCTTAAATCTCATAAGCTAACTTTGAATATTGACAAGTCCTCGTATATGTATATCTATAGGCGTAACTTATTTGATAGGCAACCATTGGATGTGGCAGGTGAGAGTCTAAAATATTCTAGAAATATTAAATTCCTTGGGCTAATAATTGACGAATTACTGTCATGGCGAGACCATATTAATAAATTAAGAAGCAAAATTGCTGGACCCATAGGTATTCTATATAAATTAAATAATAATGTCCCAAAACAATATCTAAGATCAATATATTATTCATTACCCAGTGAGCATTTTTTTGTCGCATTTGGGGAAAACTTCCGAAGTTGTGTCATAGCTAGTGTCAATTTGCACACACTTGTTTCGAAACGACGACTGCTGTATGACAAATACGTTTCGAAACTGAAGCACCGTGACACAACACATCAAGGGATATACCTAGGAATTGTGTGTCCGACTGGGTCAACGACTGTTTAGTAATCAGTACTCAATTCCTATACTTTGACGTACACAATGCCCATCTAATGACTTATACGTGTTTAACACAATTCCCAAATTATTACTGCTAAGTCACAGTATACAGTATAAAGTAAAAGAAGACACAAAGTGGTAAATATAATATTAATTGTAACAGCTTTAACTTTATAAAACACAAAGTGCACAGCTATGGTAACAATAATATTAATAATGATATTCTTTTAACTTTAATGTTTCTATTTCATGGATGCATCACCATACTAAAGTATATACATATATAAATTTATTATAATGCAATAAATAAACTTAATAATTTAAAATGCCTAAAACAGTCGGAAAACCCAATTTTTCTTGCGACAAAAATTTTTTTCTGTAGTTTTTTGATGCTCTAATGAAATAGAGAGCACCCCTTTGTAAAAATAATAAATAACGAAAAAAAAATCGTATTTTCAAAAAAAAAATATTTTTTTACCCATATGTTTGTTATTATAGTTTTTTTGGGGTGGTTTATCAAAAAGGATGGTTATTTGTTAATAATTTCTTAATTTCGTTGTAAATATATGAGTTTAAGTATTTATTAAGTAATGGCTCTGATCATAGAATAATAATTATTATTCTATGATCAGAGCCATTACTTAATAAATACTTAAACTCATATATTTACAACGAAATTAAGAAATTATTAACAAATAACCATCCTTTTTGATAAACCACCCCAAAAAAACTATAATAACAAACATATGGGTAAAAAAATATTTTTTTTTTGAAAATACGATTTTTTTTTCGTTATTTATTATTTTTACAAAGGGGCTACAGGAAACAAGATTCCCTGTTTGTGCCCTATTTGTGAAACCACACGCAGAGGAGGTATTGTGTGACCCATAAACTACTTCGTTGCAAACATGTTCTACCATTTGTCAATTATAACACAAATAAGACATTGTTTTAGTAAATGTGTCAATTATAGCGCAAAACAGGAATTGTTTCACGCAATACCGTGTTTACTCGCATGACAATACATAACCTATAAAAACAATTGTTAACGTTAACGCAGTTTAGTTTTTCTATGGTTTAAAAAGATGTTTACGCTGGTCACTACCTTAGAAAAAAAAGACTGTGTTTCATGTTAGTGCCGGATGGATGGATTAAAAATAATTTATTATATTGGCCGAAACATTTACTAAGATGGGAGGTAGAGAGGCTAAGGGCCGACCCCTGTTCTTGTCCTGAGGAAACGACATTTTGTTCTAAACTAATATTTTTTAAACGTGCGTACAAATACGGAATCGCATATCACACAATTACTACAATGTGTTATAAAATTATTTCTTGCGAC